GGTGGTGATGACACTGATAGTAATACTAATAATGACTGTGGTGGTGATATTTAATGATGGTGATGATAGTGATGATGAGTAGTAATGTTAATAGTGATGTTAATGACACTGATGGGGGAGGGGGTGGTGATAGTAGTACCTGTACTGTATATATATTTTATTCATAAACCTAATATATCTAATTCAATTCAATATTCATTTATCTTTGATGGCTGGAGATGGCACTCTCTTTCCAACTACATACATTATTCAGATTAAACATTTTTGTAATGTATAAACAAGACCAAACGTATACCCAATATCAGTGATATGATCATTTAACTGTAAAACGCAAACTATTTAAAGAACAAAATGTCGGAAAACGCTTGTCAAAATTTGGAATCCATTTCTCTTTTAAACATAACAGCATATCAAAGGTCAATGTGCTTGTCATGCAATCAAATAAACAATTGGTAAGCAAAGCATATCTGTGAACATGTCAAGGAACCTTCTGGGATCTCTGTAAATGCTGGATAAGAGGAAAATTCAACTCAAAATATGGCAGGAGCGGGAAAAATCTTACTGCACGAGGGTAGGACTGTCATAAAGACGGCCCCTAAAGGTGGAAAACAGCAGAAGTTATGAATCCGGTACCACCTAGGGTAGGCCAGGGTGGGTCAACTTGGTCGGAGAAAGGCTGGGATGGGAATTAAGACTGGGAAGGTTTCAATGCAGGTACATTAAACAGAAGCAGGCTCAGTAAGATGTGGTAATCATATTCCTGTATTTTGTCTTGGTCATTAATAAAGTAAAAAAAAAATTTGGACAAAATTTCAATAAGTAGAACATTATAGTGTAGAAGGTCCTGACAAAATTTGATTAGGCAAATCTGAGAAACAAATGATTTCAGTGTTACTGTGGTAGGTCGAGAGGGTACCAGATTCTTAAATTCTTTCAGGAACACACCGAAACAAGGCACTGGAGGAGCAATGTAGAGAAGTCTCAGGTTAGGGAGGGAGGAATACAATCTGGTTGTATAGGGCAGAGGTAGGTGAAGAGAAACCTGAGGTTAGTGAGAGAGGACTCCAACCTGGTTACATAGGGCAGAGGTAGCATGGAGGAGCCCAAGGCTAGGGAGGAATACAACACATGGTTACATAGACTTGGATAATAAAAAACTGGGGGAATACAGTACATTGTTTCATATGCCATACATTAAACATATCAATATTCAGCTTCACTGAAATTGATATACTATACTTGTAAATTTACTGTGATATATTGTGTATGTGCTTATACCCGTACATGATTGGCTGGATTAAAGAGTTGTGTGGAAACGCATTTGGTATCATAAGCAGCCATTATAAGTAACTATTTATGACAAATGATAAAATATAATGAATTTTTGTATTTTTTTTTTTTAAATTGGCAACTATTATCTTTAATCACAAATACATACCAACAAACACTGGGTACTTTACTAACTTAATGAAATCCAGAATATGTTTTACCTCACAACTTATCAATAAATTACACGAGAACAAAAGACTGGTAATAATATCACTAAGATATACAAGTCTCATACAACATAACATTATTGTACTGTATCTTGAAATAAACATAAACGGAGAAATTCGTAAAATTCAGTAAAGTATTTATTTGCTTTGTCTAAGGTCTGGTTTCATCTGGTGTGCCTTATTTATGTCTTCAGTATTTTAACCCTAAAAATAAACTTATTCTTCCGTTTATAAATGTTCTAACCTAAGTATGATCGTTGCCAAGCCTACTACACAGGAATCACTTAAAGCTTTCTAATTTAGTTACTAACAGTACATCTCTACACACTGATTCTCACCTGCATCAAAAATCCAATACTAAATTTATTAACTTTAAAACTTTTGCATGATCGCTGTACATTTTCATATTAATTATGTCTGCAGCACTATGGACAGAAATAATTATATACTGTCCCTGGATCATACCTGGAGAGGGTTTTGGGAGGTCTACTCCCCAAGCCCAACTTTGGAGAGGCTTGGCTTGTGATAACTTGGTCTAACAGACTGTCGCTTGAAGTGGCCTGTAGGTCCACAATTTTTCTTGATGTAGTCTACTACTGTCACCAGCTGATCGTTATCACACATGTTTATCCTGGCTCAGAAGTCATACTGTAATTTGTTTCTCGAGGCCAGTTGTGCCTTCCCAGGAAGAGTTGGCAATCCCTGTGAGGAATCCTCAACTACCATCCAAGATATGGGTTGGGATTATTTACACATGTCTCTGTGGCTGGTTGTCCTTCCTCCCTATAGGTGGTAAATTTCCAGTTGGTGGTAGTTCTTGTAGAACCTGCTAGTTACATTTGACCATATGTTGACTTTCTTGACATGGTCTGGAGTCCGGTTTAGCCTTGTTGGAGATGTGTTGTATTGTCTGTTCGGGTTGGGGTTTGTTGCCTTGGCAACTCCAACTCGGGTTTAGTTTGATATACCGGATGAGGGTCCAGGCATTCCAAGCTTTCACAGATTTCTCCCATTTCATTTCCTTTTGTTTAAATTGAACCTTGCTATTTTAGAGTTTTGCATTGTCTGCCTTTACCTTGCAGGCAGTCCAATCTATTCCTTGAGAAATACAAGTTTTTGTGCCAGACTTAAATCTTCAGGTGCAAGGAGATCTCCTCTGTACATCAGGTGTTTTTATATTGGTCTGACTTCCTCACCAGACATCTTCTTGCTCCTACTATACCTCTGAAGACATATTATGGTAGCTACTGGTTACAGATTCTAATTTTCTTCCACGCTTTGCTTGTGGTGGACTTTGAGATGTATGTTCAGTTGCCTTCAAGAACCTTCCACTGCATAGCTGCATTCCAAGTTTGCTTCCTTCAATAGCACTCTGGGTAAATTTTGTTGTGTTTCTATGGCCTTAGGTGATTTGCTTATGTTATTTGAGCCCCTTCCTTCAATACGTAATGTTGGATTTCTCATATCCTATCTTAAGCCATTATTAAATTTTGTTTACAACTTGAGGGTTATTCTTTCATGATTAAATGCAGCATTTCCTCACTATTACCACAACACTTCCATCATTTCTATTCTTTCTATTTCTCAAGGATGAATAACCCCCTTGCAAATAACACCTCATTTAGAGTGGCATGTCTCCTCCAGTTTGTTTCTGCCTATATGACAATATCTAGTGTTTCCAGCTATACAGAGGTGCTCAACTTATGAACACCTGATCCTACAATCATCTACACAAGTCCCTGTTTTGACATCTGGATATGCAATAGAAAACCAACTCCATCATCCTCAGTAATATGAAGGGCTACTTTCATATCTGCATTGTTAAATAGCTGGGTAGAGTACTACAAAAACCATCTGACCTAGGGTGCCATGCAACTGACCCATGCCGCAGTCGCATGTCGGCACGAGTCGATACTACCGCATGTCGGCAGTATTCTCGTGCCCAGTGTGAACCCACTGAGTTTTCTGCAGAGCTCTAATTCATATGTTTATCAAGAAAAATACTATTAACTAAAGCTGATAAGAAAAGGAAAAGTATTTGTGATGCACCAGCACCAAAGAAGGTGACACATTACCCTAGTATGGAAGGCATTGACAATCAACTGCTCCGAGAAGATGGCTACCAAGAGTATCTTGGTGTATCTTTCTCTAAACAAGTTTCTAATAATTTTCCTTAATTAAGGGATAACTCATTAATTTTTGCAGAGACTGAGTTTTGGAGATGCCATTGTATTATCAGAGACAATGCTCAAAACCGAGTCATCTACAGTGGCTAGTGACACTGAAGACAGTCCAACACACCACCATGTGATCATCACCTCGAACTGAAAGTCTCCAACTTCCTCTGTTGATTTACTGTATTTGGTTGGCTTTTATGTTCCATTTTGCCGGATCCCAGATTACTATAATTTTTTTGTCTGGGGGGGGGGATATACTCCCAATTCCTGCCTTCCTTCAGGGGTAACCTTCATTAAGTCAATGAGATTTATATATTTATATGTTGTCTCAATAAATAATTTTTCCCATACTCTCCCCACAAGAGGAGTAAGAACGTGGGGTCCACCACAAAAGGAAAGATAAGGTGGAAAATGACCAATATATGACGAAAATAAGGCACATGCCAGACCAAACATACTCTTAGATTTTGGATAACACATGAAATTCGATTAAGAAAATGACAGAAATTCCACTAAAATCCCAATGCTCATTTCGTTTAATAACTTTTTCTCATTTTTCTCCCGAGCATCAGAAGCATTCAACAAGTAATTCTTACAACACTCTGGGTGTATTGTTGGCGTATTATGCCCCATTCTCTACTGCACGACACCACGTCCCCTCATCTGCATCTGGTCGGCCAACCACTTTGTAAATCATTCCAACAGTTGTGGAGCCTTTACTTAACCACCCATTTCAATTACCTTCTCTAACTGGCAATTTCTTGATGACACCCAAATAATTTAATAGATTGCTGTTCTTACTTTTAAGAAGTAACATGTATCTATCGAAGACAAAAACTTTTATTGCAGTTTTGGAGAACAGTAAGTGTTTTATATCCTTAGACTAGCTACTGTATACAAATTGTATAGATTTTATAACACAGAGGCTCCATTGACTATATGGGACTCTGGTAACTTAAAATTGTTTGCAGGTTTATTTTAATTACTTGTATATGATTGCATCCATACTTTCACTGTTAAGCAAGTCAAAATCTATAACCTTTAAAATCAAAATTAATCTAAATCAAAAACTTCAAAAAGGTTATTAAACTAAGTTATATTTTATAGTAATATATTCACTACCTGATTAGCTAAGCTAAAACAAACATGCTATACAATTTACACTTCCAGTAACTGCTTCCCTCAGGAAATGATCAAGCTTTCCTTCAAAGCTACTGTCAACTATCATTTCTTCCAGGCTAAAGTTAATTATCACCTAATTACTTCCATACTATTGTTAACTATGACCAAGTTTAGTGAAACGATACAACCAGCACTGAGCACTTACTTGACCAGCGTAAATACATCATCAATTAGAGAGGCTCGGTCTGCAGGCGAAAATGTATTGTGATCTGTCAGCAGGGCGTGGATGATGGCTTCCCACCCGGCTGTGTCATAGCCCACGCGGTAGAAACCTCTCTGCCCAACATTGAACTTGATCCACTTTACATCTTTAGCCACGTCAAATTCAACTGTAAATTGAAAATGACATTTGGGATATACATCAGAGATGACTATTAGGATACTTCACAAAGAGAAACTTCCTGAACTAGAACTTATTTTTTGTGGCGGTTAATATTTTCAGGATTATAAGCAAACTTCAAGCCCTACTTGGTAGAAATCAAGTGTTGAAAGTAATGAAATGCCCTTTTCTGGTGGGCCTTCAGTAGCTGCCTGATCTAACTGCTAATACAGCCATGCTTTACGAAGATGCACCAGGCCTCGGAGATCAACCCAAGCCTGCTGGGACCCAGAACCAGGATCTGGCTCTTGAAGACAAGGTTAGCTTGACAATTAGGAAACACTCAACAGTGAGAACAAAAACCCTCCTTAAAATATAAGCACAATGAAAGTAACTGCTTGAAAATAATTAGGTACCTAGATGTAATAAGAGACACACACTTTACTCTGGGGTAAACACCTAAACTATAATGTGGTGCCATGACCAGTCCCAAGCGACAGCCTAAGTCCCACAAGGCTCCAGCCACCCTGCCCATTCAGTCATGAGCTGCCCACACTGAACCCCCTTCAATGCATAGGGGAGAAGGGTGGGGGGGAAGAAGGTAAGAGGGTGGGTAAGGAACACTGAAGGTTCACCAGAAAAGCAGGTTTTATTACATTCAATGCTTGAATTCTGGGAGGGGCTCCCTTAACCCCTACAATGCACACCTCTTTCATATGACCAACTCTGTGGTGAACACAAAAAAAAGATTTAAGTTTTTCTAATACTGTTCAAATACATTCCCTGGTTATGTGGGAAAGCACACGACCAAGGGTCATGCGTAAAAATTTGGACGGGCTTCAGTAGGGACCTCCAGATTTCCTGTTATTTCAGTAGAAATCTGGTTGTATGACTTTTACAAGTCAACGGTGGTCTAGTGGTAGAGTACACGACTGGCAATGATGGGGTTGTAGGTTTGTGTCCACCTCATAGCCCTAGTGGATTTTCCCATCGATATGTATCACGTTAATGTGATTCCTGAGTGTGAATAATAATAACTGAAAGTTTAAATTAACATAAAACACAGTACTGGAAATTGTACTGGAAATGTATACAGTACTTAGACAAGGATTTGTAAGGGCATGAGCTCATTTTTTTCTCGTCCTTACTAAAGGAGTGGGTAAACATACATGTAATGGAGTCTTTGAGAAAAAAAAAGTCCTCCACAGAGGTACAGTATTGTGATTCCAACAATTTCCTATAGAGTAAACATTGACCAAAACATACTTCACCCGGAGTATTCGTCTTGCCCCCTGCTAGAGCAGCGGCCACCTCCGCACAGGCACAGTAGTGAACTTTGCATGGGAAGGCTTCAAAAGGGCATACAGTAATTGTGTGTTATTATATAAGAAAATTTTTGTCAAGTACATTCTGTGACTGGAAAACGTGTTGAAAAATTAGTGTTAAATGTGGAAAACAAGTTTTAAATAAACTAAATAAACAGAAATAAGATGTAGAACCAGAAAACATTGGAACGCTTGACAAAGGAAAGTAAACACAAGCTGATGCTTGTCCACTTCTCTCTAGGCAGTGTGACGGGTTGGACGGTCATCCCACCTGGTACCTAAAGTGCACTGAATAAATTGTTGTATTTATGGTGCTATTATCTATGTTAGCTAGAGGATTGATTATTAACATGTCCCAGTGGCAGCTGACAATAATGTAGGATTCTCGTCTTTTGTGCACATTATGGTAAACTTGTGTTTCCTATCCTTCTGTATCACATGGTCCGTTAATTTTGGTTGTCCACAATTGGTAACTTTAAGTGTAGAGATAACAGTGGACTAGTCCCAGATGAGGGTATTCTTCAAGTGTGTTAAATTCCAGTGTTAGAACGTTGAGTTCTATAATATATCAACCTGTTGATTTAGTCAAAGTGTTGTGGAAGAATTAATACTTAGTAAAGTTATCATTCAATAGTGATTACAGCCATGGTTTACATATATTTTGCACATCTAAAGATTAAGGCTACAGAAATAAACCCATTGTAATTTCAGAAACTATTATTTAAACTCCCCTCCCCCTCCCCACCTAACCTTTTGCCTCCAGAGAAAGTAGCACTGCTGCTCCAGTGGGAGGCAGGATGAATACTCTTGACAAGGTAGTTTCAATAAATGTTTACTATACAGGAAATTGCTGGAGATCACAATACCTCCATGTGCAGAGGCTGAGTCTCAGTAACATGGCTGAAGACAATGTCCAAGCCACACATCAGAAAGTGAAGAAATGGAAACTTTTCTGTCCATCCTAGATGAATTATTTGATAATGTAACGACTTGATAACGGTCCAGGACGTCAATACCGCCATTGGGTATGGCGGTATTGTTCTATTTCCTCAAAGATTCCATCAGATTTACCTACGCATTTAGTAAGGACGAGTAGAAACAAGCTCGTGCCCTTACAGTTTTGCAGTGGAGAGAAACACATTATCTGTTTTACTGGAAACAACAAGGAATAAATACTGAATAGCTAAAGAAAAATATTACTTTTTGAGCAAGTTTACAAGTACAGTATCTGTACAGTGATGCTCGTACCTGAAGCTATTAAACTCATTATCTATAACAGAGTAAAGAAACAAGTAGTTTATACAAATTAAAAAATAAAAAACTCATGGTACAGTAATTTCTTCTGCAATAGCACGAGTTGAAAAAGAAACACTACATTGTGATGATAGCGAAGCTTTAGAAATACAACGGTGAGGTAGTTTCCTTGTCTAGCTACTAAGTAAACTGCCATGCAACACAGATCTCTGATAATGTCAACACATACAGCAGTGAGGTAGGAAGAGATGGTGGCATTTAGGCCCAAGGCCAAGTACTGGCACTTTATACATAGCAACTCTCCCAATACAAACTGCATGCTAAGGAGAGAGCCATGTTATCATTCCAGCACAGGGTATATATATTTGCTATCTAATATAAAAGTATTATCCTTGGACTTAAAATTTAAGCTAAACCAAGCAAAGCCAAACCAAGCAAAAGAGTGCGACTAACATTGCAACACCAGTCTAAAATGACACGCTTCTTTATAAGTGAGGAGACAATAAATGGCCTACCATCAGTCAGGTTCATCCAGTACATTGTCTGGTTATGAGGACTGTCACTAGTAACATAGGTCAGTGGCACATGCCACCTGTACCCCAATGTGGTGTTAAAGGGTTCATTTGGATCAGTGACATTCTCTTCACACACCAAAAACCTTGACTGGCTGGCTGTCACATGACCATCTTGCAGGCTAACAGAAATGAGAGGAAAGCCAGCCTGCAGTGTCCAAGTGTCCATTATGCCCTGAAGTGAAGGTCAATACACACAGCGTTAGGGGTCTACCGACTATATCCAACTTTAGGTCAACACAAAATACCACACACAATTACTGTTCAGCAATCAAGGAGTAAATATATACATTACTTAGTAATATGGTCAATAGTATATTGCTAACATGAATGAAGATGACGTATTGTTGAAAAGTAATGAAAGTGGTGCCTGTTGAACGGTAAAGTATGTATTTTTGTTGAAATAATTAATAATTTTTGCATTTCAGTAAACTACTGCATGTATTTCAGTGTACTAATGTATAAATTAAATTAAGATACAAAGTAAAGCAATCATAATTGATGAGATTTACATTACTGATTCAAAGCAATCCAACACAAACTTAAATATAAAATTGTTATCAGATTTATTATAAAAAAATGTCACAAGCAAACTTTTTAAATTCAAGCACTGTCCTTGAAAATAAGACCAGCATATTAAACACAAGATTTTGATACCTGCTTGATGGCGTTCTGGGAGGAGTTCTACTCCCCAAGCCTGGCCCGAGGCCAGGCTTGACTTGTGAGAGCTTGGTCCACCAGGCTGTTGCTTGGAGCGGCCTGCAGGCCCACATATCCACCACAGCCCGGTTGGTCCAGCACTTCTTGAAGAAAACCTTCTAGTTTTCTTTTGAAGATGTCCACGGTTGCTCCGGCAATATTTCTTATACTCGCTGGGAGGATGTTGAACAACCGTGGACCTCTGATGATTGAACAGTGTTCTCTAATTGTGCCTATGGCACCTCTGCTCTTCACGGGTTCTTTGTGGTTAATTTGGCTATTTAAGGAGAAAACTATCACACTAAACAATGATCAACACCTTTTTGGTTTTCCCCAGTTGCTATAGTATTTGTAATACAGATTTGTAATAGTATTTGTAACACTAGTGAGTATTATTATTTAGAGGTGGAAAAATGCTTTTGGTTCACAATATTCACCTCACATTATTCACCAATAAGCCTAGAAGGCTTATTGAGGTCTCCCTTAGGCCAACTAATGACCTTCCCCAGGACGCAACCTGCAACAGTTACCTAACTCCCGGATACCTATTTACTGCTCAGTGAATAGAGGCATTAGGTAAAGAGGAAACATTGCACAAACACTTCCATCCTACCATAGGAACTGAACCCAAAACCTGTCAAGTGTGACCCGACTGTTCTTATACACTGCATCATTTACATGGTTAAGCAGTGAATAACTGATTCTTAGCCAAATGTTCTGGGTTAAAGTTTTAGCTGAAGCAGAAACAAACTGGCATCATTTCCTTTCACCTCATGCTGCTGTTCACCTAGCTGTAAATAGGTACCTGGCAGTTAGTTTCTGGGGAGTTGCAGCCTAGGAATGGTTGACAGTTGACCTAGCAATTAGATATACATACACATGCACACAACCTACAACATTGGAGAGAGATATTCAGGAGGTAACCAACCAGCAGGATTTCATACTATGAAACACGAGAACTATAAAGACAGGGGTAGGTGTTATTTGCAACCTCCATTAACTACAGGAAGGTCAAGGGGGAAATACAATAAATGCAACAAAACCTACCTGAAGATAATAGAATTGCTGGTCACAGTGGCAAGGAGAGCTAGAATAAAGATCCTATCACTTGGGGATTTTAACCACAGGGAAATAGACTGGTCAACAAAGGATCCTCACCAGCCCGTCCTCCTAAGGTTTCCCTTTGTCAAGAAAACGGTCAATTTAAAGTGTCCTCTCCTAACCTACCAGAGGACTGAAAGCAAAAAATGGGACAGTACGTCACTTTTGTGAGCCACTTCCATTTTCTAGTACGACAAGTTTTTGACCTTATGTTACGCATACGATTGAAAAGCAACATTCTTTGTAGGAGGACAAAGGAGGAGAAGGAAGAAAGAATGGAAGAAAACCTTGACAAACTTCAGGAGTGGGCAGATAAATGACTGATGAAAATCCAAATAAGGGTGAAGTAATTAAAATGGGTAAGGAAGATAGGAACCCTGTATTAAGCCCATAAGGGAAAGGCAATTACCAGAAACAATAAGAGAAAAAGACCTGGGAGTAGACATAATCCTAACACTATCATCAGAAGCTTATGTGAACAGGATAACATCAGCAGTATATAGGGTATTAGCAAACATGAGAATCTCATTAAGAACCTAAACAGGTTTTCAAGCCCAAAGAAACTGCCTATGTGAGACCATTACTTGAGTATGCAGCATCAGCATGCAGCCCACACCATGAAACAAACTCTCTAAAGTTCAGAGGTTTGCAACTAGATTAGTACCAGAATTGAGAGGCATCAGCTATAAGGACATGTTGAGGGAACTCACCCTCAGCCTTAGAGAAAAGAAATGGCAGATATGATGACTACGTAAGATCCTGTTCCACATTCCATAACACGGCATTTATTGACATTTAATTCCATTTGCCACATGGTGCCCCAACCACTTATTTTATATAGGTCAATTTGAAGGGCATGACAATCTTCTAGGTTTCCTATCTTCCTTAGTAGCTTAGCATCATCAGTAAAACATGGTCATATAATTCTGTATTCCTTCTGGTAGCAAATGAAGATGCATTTATGTAGACGATGAGCATTAATGGCGCAAGAACTGAATCTTGTAGTGTAGTGTTACTAGTGAATTCACTAGTAACACTCCTCCAGCCAGATACATTGCCTCGAATTACTGCCCTCATCGTTATAAGCTTGACAAAATTTCATCCATGGTAACATGAATAATGATTAATAATAATTCAGTAATAGATCCCTCTCATAATTTAAAATCAAAGTTAAAATCATTAAGAAAATACACACCTTGATATCTAACTCGTTGCCACTTTTCTTGGAGATTTCCGACAGAGCTTTCCATAAATCATCTGTGGCTGCATTACCATATCTGTGTAAATCTAAGTACAGCCTGAGGCCCTCTTGTAGCATGTTGCGACCAATGAAAGACTCCAGCATGCTGATAATGGATGCCCCCTACACAGGAAAATAAATGATTATATTACATAAACAATGAAGTGAAACATAAAATAGAGCAATAGCTAAGATATTACCCACTAAAAAATGTAAAATGCTAGCAGTTACTTGCCAGAGCAAACAATTTGCTTTAACTGTGTGCTTTAGATGTTCTCCAGCCTTCACTACAGTGCTTGCTTTCACTACATCATGCATAAATGCCTCCAAAAATGATAGTCCTACAGCAACTGTAGATGGAATGTTTTGCACATTCCATCAATGCACAGGGCCAACAGAGTCTGCAACCTTTTCCACCTATTGTGGAAGCAGTGACACGGTGTGCAAAGGAGGAACCAGTACATCCTCCAAAGCCAAGCTTTGTTCACGAGAAATCTATAAAAGACAAAGTTAAAGCTCTAGCACATTTGCTCAAGCAATCTCTGAGGCACCTAGGGCTAACTCAAAACCACAAAAGGGGCACTGCAGCCGGGACAAGGCCACGGCAGGCTGGGAAAACGATGTTGACCTCGAGTCCCAAACGAAGCCCAACCAAGTTCAAACCCAGGTCAGAACCAACCGAGACTGCCACGAACCCACTAGGAACCCAAATCAGGCAAGCTGTGAAAGAACCAGATCCGTGGCTAGCATACACATGGATCAGCCGAGAGCCCATACCAGCCAATTGTCGAGGTAAGCCAAACCCTGAACAACTATAAGATAAAGATGGGTGGACCCAAAATTGGTAAGCCTGATGCCTCACAACAACCCTAACCAAGCCCTAAACCTTGGATGGATAGGGACGCACCAGAAAGTGTCCCGGAGGTACACACTAGCATCCAGCTCAAGAGCAAGAGGGGACCTGGGACAGAGTGGTCATTTGGACAGATGGGCAAGGAATGAACCAGCTCGTCTCCATAAACAAAGACCAAAGTCCATTCCATGCACCCACCAAACCCTGTTTATGAATGAAAAACAGTTTATACACGACACAACTGATGACGTTCGAACACTTCCAGAACAAGTTCTTCGCTGACAACTTTTGTTCGAACCACAAAACTGTAAATACTTTACCCATGTACTACAAATACAAATAATGGCCAACAGAACCTAAACACCTCACCAAACCTAATCAATGCCTAAATATGCACATTATGCTGAATCATATATAGCCATATTAATATATACTTGAGACAATTCCTATATTGAATGAACAGCATGTTAAATTTGATGAATGCATCTTCATTCGTGCATCTTCAGGGGCTTGCGAGTCCCTGAAGGGAAAACCCATGAGGAAGGAATTCTCTGGAAAACTCACACCCTACAACCAAAGACCCTCTGCAGAAGATGCTAGGAACCACAAAGGGTCAAAGGGGACACACAGCCTCAATTCTGACAACCACTAAGCCCCAAAAATTGCAGTCAAGACTCCCAGGGCAGAGCCATCATCCATGCACATTATCAGGGAAAAACTGGCAGAGTACAGGGGGAAAGGCCTAAAAAGAACTGGCCGGCTGGTAAAAAAGGCCCAGAAACCTTGGCGGGACCGAGAGGCTCAACTGCCTCCATACCCAAATCAGAAAGGGCGACCCTTGAAGTCACCCAAGCCACATCCTGAGCTAAACCCTGAACTCCGAACCCAAAACCTTCAGAAAATTTGGTGCTGGAAACAGAAGGACCAGAAGGAGAGCAAATCATGCCCAATGGGGAAGGAAGAGCTCGAACATCATCAGGAGAGCTAGTAAGAAGAGTAACGTGATGGGAGCACTCTCCGCACGACTCAGGGTTGAAGGTGTCACTGACCAAACAGGCAACATGGCAGAGGCAGAATGAATGAACATTATCACATGGCACTGATGATGGGCACTCAACAAGTTCGCTAATAGCGAGCGTGGGTTCAGGAGAACATCCATGGCCACCCGGGCCTGAAGATGGCTAAAAAACCCACCTTGGTGTGCTGAAGTGCAGCTTGTGTGAAACCCAACGAACCCCACCAGCCTAGATGCTCCAATCAGGAAAAAGATGGAAGCTAAAACCCCCAGACTTACCAAAAGATGATGGTCACCACAAGCAAGGTGGAGCTCTAAAGGAGCCTTCCCCCAAACACTCCAGGGAAGAAAACACTGGCAGTGCAAGGGTTTGCCTGCTGCTCTCCTACCCCCTAAACCAGGAGGAGTGGGGCGAACAAGTGGCCACTAATTTTAAACATTTTCAATCATTTGTTTACATAGTTTGGGGAGTACTATGGCCATTTCTTCAGCCATAGCAGGCACCCATTTCCTCCGAGTGCCTTCCTTGGTGGTGGCATAAATAAATAACTTAATACATAAATGCCATAGCTCCCAAACCCTTGAGAGGGAACCAGGTTCTAGCTCCGGGTACCCAGTAGACCAGAGAACTCTGCGACTGATGGCGTCTAATAGATGGTACCTACATCAGAGATGGTAACTTGAGGGAGCCACAAGGGGCTCACCTCCCCAGAAAATATAACAGACACAAATACGGGCCCCTGAAGGACTACATCCAAAAGGATAGCCAACACTTATCTGAAAAAAATGGGCCAGGAAGGACAGTTGCATGATGGAGCTGTGAAAACCACCACACCGGATGAATGGCTGACATGGCTGGCTGGCTTCCAGGCTGCCATCTGGTGATGGGGAAGTGTAACTAGCAGTGATAACCAGCTAATGAGTATGTACTTAGTTAATATGGTTGCTAATTTGTCTGCAAGCAGATGCATGTTTTGGGATACTCTACCTTTCTAGCAGCTTATCCTTTTGGCTTGGGTTGATTTATGTATCCCCACACTCCCTTTGCTTCTACCTAGTGAACAAAATTCTGCTTGTAGTCTGTGGTAGGTTTTTATGACTTTTAAAAGGTCTGATGTGGAATGATAAGTGTGGAGCTAGCAAGCAGTTAGCTCTGGAAGCCACCAAGGAAAACCCTCCTAGGAAAGTTAGATCAATACAGGCAGTGACTGACTTCATACAAATCAAACTAGAAACATTTACTTTGGATCCAAGATATCCTTAACTGACTACTCATAACATCATCTTGCCACATTAACTAGGATAAATGAACGAAAAGCGTCCAGTTCAAACCTTTTTATATGAAATTGTATCAAATATTGATTCAATTTGAGCAGGGTCTGTCACTGGTGTAGATATGGGGTGAGAGGCCAGAAGGGCATCTAACTCAAGAGCAGGATGCATCTTCTCCACGAGGAACTGCTCCTGCATGGCCCACCCCGGCTCTGCCACCCCAGTACCAATATTCTCCATGAAGCTGGCAAATCCTTCATTCAGCCACAAGTCACTCCACCTATTGAAATAAAGAATTTAGTTTATTACCATCCTTCCTTTTACTTGCCAATCATACATAACTTTCCTCATGTTAACGATGGAAATGATTTAGGAAAAACTAAAAACTTAAATCTAATTCTTACTCCAATTTTGTCAAAAAACCTCATGAATTATAAGATGTTTGCCCTATCTGATCTTTAATATAGTTCTGATCACACAAAAGCAATAATAAGTGAAGGTTGTCACAGTATACTGTATTGTGCTGCATAATATGAAAAGTGTCAACTCTGATCTCAGGTTCTGTGTTGCCGATACATAGTATTGCATTCTTCATTTCGTTGGGGGACAGGCAGCCTGTGTATGTACCGGTATATACTTTAGGCTGGTATCAAGGTCCCCCACAAAGTCGAACTATAGATCCTCCCCAGAATGCAACTCGACAACAATTGACTACCTCCTAGGTATCCATTTAGTACTAGGTGAGCAGAGACATTAGGTGAAAGAAAACATTCTGTCTGCCCAGTATTCAAACTCGGGATTCTGGATTCCAGTTAATGTATGCATGGATTGTTCACTTAGGTTAAATTCTGTTGGGAGTGGTCAGCAACTAGGATTGGTTACCAAGTTACCAAGAGGGAGGCACCAGCTGAACCCAGAGGAGGAGATGAAGGAGCAAACTTGAAACAAAACAACTGCTCCAAGATCGGATCATGAAACGATAAAATGGCTAACCCTGGGGCAACCACATCAACATTCAGCCACAACCAATGTATAAGGACAAACCTGGCCTATAAAGCAGCAGCCACCTGTTAAGCCAAGTCCCTAGAAGGAAGCTTGGCTAAATCAGAGACCCAATGACCACAAACATCACAGGTCTCCAGGTGGAACATATTCCCTACCCAACAGGTGGCATGATGGAGGCAGTAAGAGCTATCAGAATACATGAAAATTGAGGCATTTCCTTCAAACTCACACCCAGCGAGGACAGAATCAGAGGTCTGGTACATAATAAACTCTGAAAACTGCAAATGGTCTAGAAGGGTAGACAAAGTAGGTACACCAGGCACAGGTACTGCTTGCCAAGGTTTACAGATGCCAAAGATAACCTATGGGCAAATGCAGCTGCAGAAGGTGCCAGTGTGACACAGTACAACAAGTACGCAAACAACATATGCGATCTTACGTCAAAAATCAAATTGCCGCAATCTATAAAGTCAAACACCTATGCACTGTTAAGGGCAAGGCACCTCACAACTGGAAGCTGCTCTCGGAGACAGCCACACGAATCTCCCCAGAGAAAGAAACTCTGGCCTGGCATGGGCAACACCAGCAAACACCTAGAGATGAGAACTCTAGCCAGAGACAAATTAAGATGAACAGAGTCCATGCAACAAGCGAGGCATAAATATACGCATGTTATAAAACACTAAAATACAGAACAAATACACAAGCAAATGACCTCTGCAAGACAAAAACAAAGTCCATGATGGCCAGCACTAACCTGAAAAAAATGGTACCCCAAAGGGCAGTAGGGCAGGAAGTGTATCAGTGAAGTAAGCTTCAGGCAATATGACCGAGGTTCAAAGTTCGTGAAGCAGGGAGGAAGGTGTACAATCCCCTGGTGGTGTGCAGGTGGAACTAACAAGAGAACTCCTTAATGAACAGGTGGGTCATGTGTATTGGGGTTTTGCTGTCCCATTTTCTATTATTTGATTGCCTTGCTGCTTGCCCACCTTTCTGGTAGCCTTTTCTTGGTTAGGGTAATCTATGGTGCCCCATTTCTTGCACTCTCTTTATAGGGAGACCAAGTTTTGGCCTCTGGTCCCCAATAAGTTTAAATGATTTTCATGGATCTGGTGTGTATTGAATTGGATGGAGCTTTGCCAGGTAGCAAGCAAGCAAGCAAGGAGGAGCCACCATTAGGAGCCCTCCCATTAAAGCACCTGGTAGAAATCAGCCGAGACAACAGAGCTTGGCACAACCACCATGGTAACAGACAGAAGAGAGGAGACGACTTGCTAGCATGGCTGAAAAAGCTGTGGGCCTACACGGTTCAGGACCATGCAGCTAGTGGTGACATAAACCCACCTGTCACTATGCTGTCAGTGGTGTCATAAGTCCACATCCCAATATGGTCCGAGTGACATCATGAACCCAACTGCTACTATGCTGCCAGTGGTGTCATAAGCTTGCTTTTCCCACAATTGCACATCGTAGTAAGTAAAGGTATTATTGAGTGACTGCTTGGTGTGGGGGAGAAAGCTGACTAACCATGACATTGTGACAAGATTGCCGAACCACTGATGAGCAAGTTCGTGAGCTATCACCACTGCCACCCCTTGCTGTGCCCGTGATGACGTGTGATTTTTGTCAAACATGAGAGCCGTTTCTCTGTACGTGATTAAGCCCCAGTTTTCCATCGCTCCTGCTCCGAAGTCTGGGATGGCAATCAAATCTGAAAACAAATATATAATATGTATATACAGTATGGATAATTAATGAGTACTGCTATTTCTGCAAGTTAACAAAATCTAAAATAAAATTGCTTTAACAAATACAATTTTACTTACCCCATCCATAACCATACTGATAACATTGTATTCCTACCATTACCATGCTAATAAAGGTCTTCCTACTGTTAAAAATGGGTCTTTATATGATAAACACAACCACTGAGAGCATTTTGGCAGATGTAGCACAATAGTCAAACAAGCCAACCAAACTTAATAAATAATATGTACCATCGTGTACTTAGACAACAAAATGCCATTTAGTTTTAAGGATTGAAGACATACACAAGAGGCAACAACTATAAGCTTGTAAACATATTATGCAGAAGAGACTGGACACACTTTTACTTCGACAGACCAGTCCACCACTGAAACTGTAAAGCTGCAAATCTGATTACACTTGAATATTTTAACAGGAAACATGAGGGAGCTTTTACAATCCATTGACCAGTACCCACCATGACCTCTAGATACACTGGCCTCCTGTATTCACTATGGCTGCAAGACACTGGCCAACAATAAAATAAATAATTTATTAATTCCTGTTGTCGTGGACAGGAAGCCCGTGTAAATAATAACATATACTTGAGGTTTGTATCGAGGCCCTCTGAAGGTCGAACTACTGATCTTTCCCAGGATGCAACTCCATAACAGTTGCCTAACTCCAGTGTACCTATTTACTGTTTGGTGAAAAAAACCAGCGTTGAATGTAATGAAACGCCATTTTCTGGGCGAGTCCTGGAGGCTCCCCGGAGCTCCCCCAGAAAAGTCATATTAGGAGAAAGGAAACATGTCCGATCATTTTTTTCCCATTGGGTAATTGAAACCATGATCCCTGATTTTAAGTCGAGAATGAAGCCAACAGTACTACAGGTTAAGCTCTACAAATATTGTAGGAAAAAAACTAAGATACAAACACTAGTAAATATTTGTCAGCAAGGTATCAATATTTAAAAAAAAATACAGGTATTTGTTAATAAAATTTCATTATATTGTTCACAAAAGTAAAAATGGTATTTCAAATAGGAAGAGCATTTTTATTCGTAAAATAATATACACAAAACAAAATCACTGTATTAAATAATTGATAACAATATGAAGTACAGAACTTAGTGTACCTTGAACAAATCCACAAGGGCCATGACGAGGGTTCGAACTTACATCCAGGATGATCCCAGACGCATCTCAGTCGATTGCGCCACTACATGGTTAAAAGAATTGCACCCTCATCACGGCCCGTGTGGATTTGTTCATTTGATATATCACGCTATTGTGATTTCTTGTGCTTACTGTACCTTGTTTTGGCAATGGGTATGACACACCAAAGAACATGTCATAAAAGTCGAGGATGTGAGATGCTATTCGCAGTGCATATTTGGCTTGGCTGATCATGTTTGGTGGGGCGTACACCGACACATTGACATTGTGCTTCGTCAAAACAGATACCCTCGCATAATCACACACAACAAATGCAACCAAATAAGTGCTCATTTCCACACTTTCTTGAAACTCATCAAGCAGCTAGAATATGAAAAAAAATACACTTTTAAAGAAACTCAGAACGACTATCTTTTATAATGCAAAGTATTGCACAGAATTTATGTTTGAAATAAAATGATGACATTACTAAACTGGACAAGCCAAACTATTTCATCTTTATTATAACAATTAACCACAATTAGCATTATTCAATTATTAAGAAGAAGAAAGCTCATTGACTGCAAGACAAGAACCTAATTGTGCAAAATAAAAATACTAGTTGCTTACCAAGTGTGAATCTTCAACAGGTTTGGTTGTCTGTTTAGGCATGTTGAAGAGTGTGAAGTACTGAGGATCTCGGTAAATACTCAGGTGGAATTTGGCCTTCAGGTGAGGCTCATCAAAGCACGGAAATGCAGAGCGCGCAGACGTAGGCTCAAAATGAGTGGTGGCAATATACCTAGAAAATATATATTACTATTCAAGTTTAAGCTCAAAATACCTTACTAACCAAATTTTGACTTTTTTTAGAATTTCCCAGCCAAAAGTGAAAAGAATCAATGACGGATGAATTCCCATATTTAGGTCAATATTTAAAAGGAATGACAAGGAAAAATAAGTTTTGTTATTTTTGGATGAAAACACCAGGTTAGCACATGGGTGTGATATGTATATATATAATATGTATCACGGACTGCTCAAGCTTTATACAGTAGTTCAATAGCTGAAGAAAGCAGAGAGAGAAAAATATATAGTACTGTATTTCATTGGAGATGGAGTGCATTAGTAGCCAAATTTCTTCACCACCATCACCACTACTGACCCAATTCCCACCCATCAGGAAGAGGGCCAAAAAGTTTTAAGTATTAGGATAAAGATACAGTGGAACTGGAGAGAGATGCTAAGCGACACTACAGCAAGCCTACACCATCTCGCTGCCAGCATCCACACCACCTAAGTCACTAAAACATGCCTAGCACTTCCCTCGAGTCATTGGAGATGAACATTATTTTTTTTTTTTTACTATCTTGCCTATCTTGAAAGAAATGGGGAATCAAAGATTACCCTACTACTGAGGTGAATCACCCGTTACAAAAAGTTAAAAATTGATTTGGGTATTGTTATTTCTTAAGATTAATTTCATGGTTTGACTTGTTACTAAACAAAATGTAAAACATCTTGTTGATGTTAAGGGTATGTTTGTTAGCAGTCAGCTACAAATGGACTCGAGTTCAGTATTTACCAAGTCATTTAAAATACTGTAAATGGTTTAGCATGTGAGAAAATGAAAGTTGTATTATCAGCAAATAGAATGGGTTTCCCAAATGTGTGGTACTTGGAAGATCTTTAATATACAGTACATGAAAAAAGAGGAGTGGACCAAGTATACTACTCTGCTGAATGCCAATGTTAATGGGGTAGAGTGGGAGAAGCAGCATCGTTCACTGAAACATACTGGTCAGGAATCTGTACATCAGTTGATTGACGGTTGAGAGGCGGGACCAAAGAGCCAGAGCTCAACCCCCGCAAACACAACTAGGTGAGTACAACTAGGTGAGTACTGCTGCTTGTCACCAAGGTAAGACTGCAAGTACTGAAGGGAGTGACCTCTGACCCCATAGTGTTAAGAGTTTGAGAAGGTTATTGTGGTTAACAGTGTCAAAAGCCTTATGTAGGTCAACAAACAGACCTATGGGGCACTCATTTTTGTCCAAGAGCTCCAATTAGGTTAAGCATATTTATAAGAGGATGATTGGTGCTTTTATGGGGCCTGAAGCCATATTGGCTTCAGGCCCCATATAATGTTTAATTTGTGCGGTCTTGTTACAAGCGAGATAAAGTTATCACAGATACAAACGCAGCAGTGTCCTCCATTGCAATAGATCATCATGCTAAATATGTCACAACAGAAGCTCATTCATAAATATTTAATGCCCATCTCTATCATGTTTGGCAGTAGAGGTGATGTGTCTAACACCAAGGTACCATGTATACAAGATGATTACAGATTTCATACCATAATTTAATCTGTCAAAATTAGCAGGTCGAGACCCTGCAAACACACAACATAACGGTCCCTATGATTCCCTTGTTACAATTTGTAATAAAGTTGTTACATCTTATTATAATGCTTTTATGACATATTAGAATGTTGTTACAACTTGCTATATTGGTTGTTACAATTGTTAGGTGTTAAACTTTGTTTGCACGTTGTAGCAACGTCATAGTTTCGTCACGTGTTTGGCGGGAAAAGAAGCACTGTTGAACAGAACAGGGGAATTTATCTTTAAAAAAATCACATACTGTACAGGGAAATATTGCCCCCCACCATTCCAACTCTAATAAACACTAGAAAAATATCAACTATAGCTTATCTTCACACTACTACAGTATACACTCTTAAAACACACGGAATACAACCATACTGAAACTAACACACAATCATGAAAACTCATTGATCAACTGGGTAATACTGACATCAATAACTCATAATAGGGCCAACCACAGACTTAGGGCCCACAGGAAAATAATTGAACAAATTATAAATGATTCCACATGAAGTAATAATAAAAAAAAAGCTGTCTAGCACATATGGTGACAGACTTACTCAAGCTGCCCTGCTGTAGTGCTACAGTGTCATATTATAGTACTGAAATAATGATGTAATCATTAAGGAAATAGCTAGTAAACTAATATGAACACTAGTACCCCCCCCCCAATGTTAGGGCAGAATTTAAAAATAAAAAAACACAGCCAAGCATTATATTTTACCACTCTAAGAAACAAATCCACAGGAAACGTGACGAGGTTGTTGTTTATGTTGTTTAAGATTCAACTACTGGGAACAAAAAGTTCCAAGTAGTACGGGCTATGGTGAGCCCATCCGTGACGAGGGTTCTAACCTGTGTGTTGGGTGTTCCCAGGCACGCTCTCGGCATTAATATGTCACGATAATGTGATTTCTCGGTGTATTTTACCAGTCTAATATTTTGAAATGTGTAACATTGTCAACTGGTTAGTGTTTTATTTACATTTCATAAAGGTTCAATCTTTATTATGCAATAAAACAAGCAGTTGCCTATACATCTTCATAGCACCCCAGTTTCAATTACCTTTTCTCTCCATCGCTGTCCACATATGATGATAGATAGAATCCTTCAAGTGCCTCTTTCAGTGTTGTTTCGAAGCTCATCTTGAGCGTGTAATTACTTCCACGGCGCAGGATTTCCGACAACCCCAAATACAACTGTAAGCAAAAAAAACAACAACTTTTCAAATGGTCTTGTCACATAGTTGGGGCAGGGAGACATTGAAGAGTACAGAAGAATCCACCACTGAGCCACAACAGAACAACACTCTCAATACCCCTGTAAATAAATTAGAGGACTCCAAAAGGAAAGCTAATTATGACTGATACTAGTACTAGTTAGCAACTAGCTGTTATGACAACCATTATCAGATGAAATCAGGTCACCATTGTAGTTTTGGGGAGCCAGAACATCTCTAAAATATTTGAACAACTTTTTTTTTTTTTGTACAGTATTTGTTTTGTATGAGTACATATATTTGTTTTATGTTTGCTACACACAGAGATCACACTAACGTGATGCATCAAATGAACAAATCCACAAGGGCCGTGACGAGGATCACAGCCTCGTGACGACCCTTGTGGACATGTTTATGTTTGCTGGTGTTATGAACCTCGGTCACATCATAACATACATCCTCACCTGATGTGAGCGCTATTCCTCATTCAAGTGTACACTACACTGATACTAGGGGTGCAGTAAAGTTTACATGGAAAACCAAAGTGTGTATGGAGAAAGAACTGCATGGTTTTTAGGCTTTATTTTGACAACAGACAACAGCAAGGTAATTCAGGAACAACCTTATAGTAAAGTCATTCCAACTGTACTGAATAAATCACATGCCAGTAGCCAAATCCTATTGACTGCATGAACCTCACAATGGTACCTAGTTCTTACTGACTGTATAAACCCTACAATGGTAGCTAATTCCTATTGACTGTATAAACCCCACTAGTTCCTACCGACTGTGTAAACCCCGCTCTAGTTCCCACCGACTGTATAAACCCCGCTCCAGTTCCCACCGACTGTGTAAACTCCGCTCTAGTTCCCACCGACTGTATAAACCCCGCTCTAGTTCCCACCGACTGTATAAACCCCGCTCTAGTTCCCACCAACTGTATAAACCCCGCTCTAGTTCCCACCGACTGTATAAACCCCGCTCTAGTTCCCACCGACTGTATAAACCCCGCTCTAGTTCCCACCGACTGTATAAACCCCGCTCTAGTTCCCACTGACTGTGTAAACTCCGCTCTAGTTCCCACCGACTGTGTAAACTCCGCTCTAGTTCCCACCGACTGTATAAACCCCGCTCTAGTTCCCACCGACTGTATAAACCCCGCTCTAGTTCCCACCGACTGTACAGTATAAACCTCGCTCTAGTTCCCACCGACTGTATAAACTCCGCTCTAGTTCCCACCGACTGTATAAACCCCGCTCCAGTTCCCACCGACTGTATAAACCCCGCTCTAGTTCCCACCGACTGTATAAACCCCGCTCTAGTTCCCACTGACTGTGTAAACTCCGCTCTAGTTCCCACCGACTGTATAAACCCCGCTCTAGTTCCCACCGACTGTATAAACTCCGCTCTAGTTCCCACCGACTGTGTAAACTCCGCTCTAGTTCCCACTGACTGTGTAAACTCCGCTCTAGTTCCTACAGACTGCACAAACTTTAACTTGCCTGTTGGTGTGGAGGATATACAAGGAATTTCAGAATTTCAATAGGTTTCCCATACTTGTTTTCTAGTGAATACTGGGAAACATTTAGTTCATTTCCATGGATGATAATGGCTGTAGTTTCCTCAATAGTGGTAAGCTTGATTGTCATTTCTCCTGGAAAGGAAAGACATGCATCAACCACTATTATAGCCAATTTATAATCAATACTATCTACGTAACATTTGCCAAGTTTTTTTTTTTTTTAGTTTTTTTTCAGATCATCGGAGTTGCATTGGAGGACGTCAAGGAAAATTTTGAATCATTGTAAGATGTTCCTATTTAGCTTAATTAAGTTAATGTTTGTTCCTATTTGGCTAAATTAAATTAAGATGAGGTAATTAAATTATGATAAGGTAATCTAATGACTAATTCGATTACATTGTGTACAAGATGAAGATGCACCCCCTAATTTATTTAAAAGGATATCTTCTGGGAAAACTATATTAACATGTTTTATACATTTATTACAAGTGACTTTGAAGCCCAGCTTCTCTACAGTATTACCATTTTCATTTGTGTAAGCCACAACATAGAACTTTAAACTTAATGCTATAACAACGCATTGTATTTGCCTGCAAATAAGATACATCCCAACCCTAAGTCCAACCACTTGGGTTGGACGGTAGAGTGGCGAGACAAGTAGAATGACAGTCTCACTTCATGCAGGTCGGGTTCAATTCCCGACCATCCAAGTGGTTGGGCACCATTCCTTCCCCACCGTCCCATTCCAACTCCTTATCCAGACCCCTTTCAAGTGCTATATAGTCATAATGGCTTGGCACCTCTGCCCTGATAATTCCCTCCCAACCCTAAGTGTTTCTATAACCACTTCTCTTCGATGCCAAAGAAGGCTCCGAAGGACTTGAATTTGCTCAGGTTGTGCTTCCTACACCAATCAAACTGGATGGCTTCCTCCAGTGCTTCCTATCACCGTGGAGAATGCTTGAAAAGTTGCCCATTGCATCAGTACCAGAATGCCACCCAACCTAATATTACAGTTCACAGTGAGACAGTAGAAACTTAATTTAGGATGCAACCAAATAAGATACCTCAGAAATGTTTAATAACACCACACCTTGAACATGTCTAGTTGTTAAATTAGGATGGATACGAATGTCGTAATGCAGAGGTCGCACGTGAAAAGGCAGCCGAACATCTGTCCAAGGAAACTCTTCTCCATTGGTTGCTGTTGGGGGCGTGCTCGGTGGCGAGACTGTTGGATGGCTGCTTAATCCTGGCATGGGTTCCCCAGTGTATGTTGCTTCTGGGCATCCTTAAACAAAATATGATTAAATAAGTTTTAGTTGTGAATTTTCAGTGGTTAAAGCGAGAACCTTAGAATAAAGGAAACTGCAGAGGGCCTATTGGGCCTATAGAAGGAAGCTCTAATTTATGTCTACCCAAACTCTCATCCAGACCACAGGCACAATACAAGTGATCCCACATATTTTATGGTACCTGATAATTTGTTCCATACATCAACCACCTTATTCCAAACCAGTATTTACCCATGTTTTTCCTGAATTTAAACATAAAATTTATATCCACCGTTTTGTGTTTTATCTTGTGTCGATATATTTAACACATTATTATACCCTTTCATTCATTAGTATACTTCCATCATGTCACCCCTTACTCTCTGCCTTTCTAGAGAATGTAAAGTTAACTATTTAATCTTGTCATACAAAACATTTCCAATTCACGAGATAACTTTCGTCATCCTTCTGTGAACTCGTTGAAGTGAATTTATGTAAATTCTATAATATGGCTACAAAAACCGAATTCCATAATCTAAATATGGACTAACAAGAGCAAGGTAAAGCTGAAAAAATAACATTAGTTGTCCAACTGCTAATGCTTCTAGAAATAAAACCTTGTATCCTATTTGCCTTATTCCGAACATTTAAGCATCGATTTTAGGGGGCTTCAACTCCTGACTAATCATGACTCCCAGTTTTTTTTTGTGCATTTAGACTTCACAATTTCAACACTATCCAGCATATACAGAACCTGGTAACTATCCTCATTACCTTGCCTCAGGACCCTACATTTTGTCAGCATTAAACAACATCTACTAATCTTTTGTCCATTTTGTCCATCTAAATTATCTTGAAGTGATTTTGAATTTTCTGAATTTATTTCCCACCCAATTTTTGTATCATCTGCAAATTTGCAAATATTGCTCATCAAACCTTTATCTCAATGATTTACCGTATGCATAATAGTAAACAACAGAATCACAATAATGTGACTGAAAATATGAAAACCAAACCACACATCAGAAAATAAAGTACCAATTTGATAATGGTCCAGGATGGACCAAAACATCGTCATTTCTTCATTTTCTGACATGTGAAGTGGTAAGACACTCGCCTGGCGTTCCGCGAGCGCTATGTCATGGGTTCGTATCCTGGCCGGGGAGGATTTACTGGGCGCAATTCCTTAACTGTAGCCTCTGTTTAACTCAACAGTAAAATGTGTACTTGGATGAAAAAACGATTCTTCGCGGCAGGGGATCGTATTCCAGGGATCTGCCCGAAACGCTACGCGTACTAGTGGCTGTACAAGAATATATCAACTCTTGTATATATCTCAAAAAAAAAAAAAAAGACATGTGGTTGGTCATCAAACAACTGGAGTCCCGAGACAGAGCCCTGGGGCACTACATTTACAAAGGTTTCCCACTCCAACTTTACTCCATTCATACTAACTCTTTTTTCCTTACAAATAACCATGCCTTTATGCAAATTAAGACAGCTCCCTCAATACTATGAGCCCCTACCTTTTTAATCTTTCATAAGGCACAGTATCAAAAGCTTTGCTGAAGTCAAGTTACAAAACATCGCAATCCTTTTAACTAACACTTGCTTGAAATATACTAGAAAAGAATGGAAGTAAATTTGTTTATGAGCAGACCTTAGTAAAACCACACTGCCACTTCTTCATTAATCTATGTTTTTTTTAAGATGTACAATAGATGAATGGCTTGAAAAACATCCACTTATGCTAAGATAGAGTATAACATATATTAGTTATTCATGGCCTCTTAAGTGTATTATAGAACAGAAGAGCATATGGTCCATGTCTGGCTATTTTTAGGCCCAAGCCAAGTGATCCCTAGACAGAGATTGCTTGATCAGCGAAAAATCCTCTATCACAGGACGTCCACCCAGAACAGCAAGACATAAGTATGGTTCCTATCAGGATCTTTAATAAATCAAAATGCCATATAAAATTAAGGTAACTAGAGTAAAATAAATAATATTATAGGTAGTTAGCCAACAGCTCAGGTAAACTGGTAAACACTAGTAAATAATTGAAAGTTTAGACAGAGCGAACCCCATATACCCGACCCATGCACACCATCTGTGTGGAAAGTAGCCTCATCAGGGAAATGTCTCACCCCCACCACCAGCGACAAGAACATTACCGGTGGAAGCTTCAATTCAGCTGTTGTTTACAACACTTGTAGACATAGTGTGGTGCTTTAACTACAAAATACACACAACAATAGACATATCTTGTTTAGCAAATAAAAATTTATAGGTATAGATAGCTCTAGAGCATAAAACTGAGAAGTGAAATACTGTGAGTGGAGCCACACTGATGACATTACAACAGTGACGGAGCCCCCAGATGCCATTACCACAACAAAACACATACTTCAACGGCGGTCTACAACACGGCTAACTACAGTACATGAAAATAGAGTGCCCAGATCACCAAGAGAGCTATAGAAAGTTTTCTTCCTTTGATTTCTTGTAATAAAATAACTGAACTTTGGGCACCCAAATTTCTACCCCTAAGGTCTAAGGGATAGTTTGTGGCAAGGTTTTATTTTTGTCCCAAACCATTGCCAAGATGTTTTGTGCCATTAATTGTTTCTGTTTCAGGAATTTGGTCATAATGTGGGCTTAACTCCCACCAGCAAGTTTGTTCCAAGCTACAAACCTCCTGCGTTAAATATTAAACTCGGTACCTGTACTAATAATTAAATTAGTTAGGTTAATTAATATTTAACAGTGATATGTTGCAACTGTTTACAAATAAAGTAATAAACTTTGCTATAAATGAATTTACATAAATTAAGTCATATCAATAAAACAATTTAATAATGTTAACATTTGAACCATAGGCTAGGACAGAGAGAAAAAAATAGATGTACCAGCGTAGCTGCCAAGGGCTCCCACCAGAAATGAGTATTTCATTTAATAATATTTAACAACTGATTTCTAAGGGAAGGCTGGGCGGGTCCTCAATATCTCCCAAGGTTAATACACAATGACACCTCAGCAGAGAAGGCCTGCATTTCTGAAAAATAAATCGGTAAACAGGAAAATGCAGCTAGGGCTTACCCATTGGAAAATGTGGTTGAAGACTAGAACCTAGGGTAGAGGGGCACATACAGCGAGCTATATATCAAAATACGATATTTAGCGAGCCTGAGGGGACCCCACAAGCAAAGTGAAAGACCAACACCTAGGTGGACCAACGAGAACTATTCTCAAACCTAACCTAACCTAACCAGCCATGAAATGAAGAGTAAGGGAGTACAGATCATCAGCTGGCCAAAATAAGAAAAACCTTAAGAATGTTAGGAAACAAACTGACATTAGATCCTGGCATAGGGACCCAAATCCACGGATCCAGATTCCCAGCAATTGGCAGTCAGACTCTAGAACCAGAAAACCCAACCCAACCTAAAATGAATGACAAATCTACTCAAAATCCAGGCAAGGATCTTAGAGAAGCAGGGAAAATGCCCGAAAACATACTGCACACAGTGCAGGATATGTTACAGAGGCCAGATTAACACCAGGTTACAAGTTTTACAGCCAAGTGCCACTGCCACCACAGCTAAGTCAGCAAAACAGTCACCAAAACCCCTGGAGGAAGGAAGCACCCATCCTAAGAAGCACCTAGCGTCCATCCCGGAAACAGTCAGGCACACAACCCAGAAACGGTAGAATGCCCAAGCCTGAAATTTCTGTGCCCTCGATACTGTGATTAGACAAGTGAGGGGGTGAGCTGGCTGAAGCCATAGGTGATCTGGGCTGCTGCTGCTGCTGCTGCTGCTACTGGTGATAATTAGGTGTATCTCAGTTAAAGTGTTTACCTTGCAGCAATCCTTTGCTGCATTACCTTCTGATACCTAATTTTCCTGAAGCAGTTGTATGTTTTAGTGTGTTTACAGTGTGATTTTTGGTGGAGTTTTCCTGTGTTTTGGGTTAACTCAATCTCAAACTTCTCTCACCTTGTAAAGAGAGCCGATTCTGGTCTTGGCTCCCCATATGCAAGGGTGGATCTTCAAGGCTTGTGCATCTCCCTAAATCCTTGGTGGACCAGTGCTAAACTTAGCTCAGGAAATAAGAGGATCCCCTTACAAAATACTTAACACTCATTGAAATCAAAGTACAGTATTCCTGACAAACACTTAATTACATACCTGGTTTGGTAAAAGCAACAATAAGAGCAACAGCAATGATGGCAATGAAGCCTAATGTAACGACACAACATGCGCGTTTCTGCGAGCACACCATCACCGCCCCAGGCTCATACATAGCACGCTTGTTAACCATGAAGCCGCTCTCGTTGGGCGACCCTGCAAGAGAGAGTCCACATGAAAGATTTTTTATATTTTTTTTATTGATATTAGTTCTGTATCCAAAAAAAGGTTAAAATCTCTAGAATATAACTTTTTCTGGCAAAAGGGTGGAAAAGCATTTTTTATAGCATAGCCTTATATGCCTTGTACTGTACTTGAAGAATTACTGATTCAAATTTTGCTTAATAATTCAACTGAAATACAATGCAAGCTTGCTTATAGTAATTTTGTAACAAGCTAATATTAAATTTAAATTGGAAATAGCAAACCGCGAAGAGATAGGTTGAAAAGGTATTAGAAAATGAGGACTATAGAATAGGGAAATCTAGCTACTTTAAGTTCACTTAACTAAAGAGTTTTCTAAGCAATAATATTCTCAGGGGGGATAGATATTGGCCCGAGTACAACTTGTTTAATATAAACAGGTGAACAAATTGCACATCACCTTATTCAAATGACTTAAAAGAATTTGGCAGGACACAAAGATCACATTTATAAAGGCCAATACTATACTAATGTTATCATTCATTTTGAAAGTAAAAATGCAATAGGAATAAAATTATAGGGATGCTATCCAGCCGACACCGCGAAATGATCAGATGCCTATGTTAGAAACTGCTGTGAGTGGCTGAGGTAAAAACAAGCGTGGTGCTTCTAAAGTCACTACCGTACATATTTACTCACACGTGAGTCCTATGGTGGCATCAGTGGCTAATTATGGAAAAAAACAAAGGAGGAACAGAATTTTTCATGCTTTAGTACTTTACTGGGCATTTTATGATCAAATGTTATGCAGATTTGGGGATATTTTATTAGGTATGGTTATAATAAAGAGAACTAAGTTTAATAACCTTGTATTGAGATAAACTTACCCTTACTTGAACTATCAGGATACTATGCAGTCACTTTCAATAAAAAAAAGGATTAAATGAAAATGAAATAGTGAACAAGACCAAGAAATTGCTTATTTGCTATATGGCTTGAACATTACATTGATAAATTTTGAAACCAAAATGTTTACTGTGAACCATAGTAGAGATATGAGCACAAGCTTGTTGTCACTCAATGTAGGTCACGGTCGTCATCCCCCTGTAGGTCACGGTCGTCACCCCCCTGTAGGTCACGGTCGTCACCCCCCCGTAGGTCGCGGTCATCACCCCCCCACCCCCCACCCCCCCGTAGGTCACGGTCGTCACCCCCCTGTAGGTCACGTTCGTCACCCCCCTGTAGGTCACGTTCGTCACCCCCCCTGTAGGTCACGTTCGTCATCCCCCCGTAGGTCACGTTCGTCACCCCCCTGTAGGTCACAGTCGTCACCCCCCCACCCCGTATGTCGTGGTCGTCACCTCCCCCTGTGGGTCACGGTCGTCACCCCCCTGTAGATCACGGTCGCAACCCCCCCCGTAGGTCACGGTCGTCACCCCCCCCCCCCTGTAGGTCACGGTCGTCACCCCCCCATAGGTCACGGTCGTCGCCCCCCCCCTTGAGGTCACGGTCGTCACGCCCCCTGTAGGTTAAAATTGTCACCCCTTGTAGGTCACAGTTGTCACCCCCTGTAGGTCACAGTTGTCACCCCCTGTAGGTCACGGTCGTCACCCCCTGTAGGTCACAGCCGTCACCCCCCTGTAGGTCACGACCGCCATGCCCTGTAAGTCACAGCCGTCACAACCTGTAGGTCATGGCCGTCACACCCTGTAGGTCACAAGTTCACCACAAGCTCCAGATGTCTTACTCTACACTGTACAACTGTCAGTACAGTATCAGTGGTGGAGGTCATGGCACATACATATTACAATGAACACAGCAATAGGTACAGAGTATGCCATACACAAACAGCAACTGCTGTATGCTTCATCTTAACTACTAACCTCAGGGGCACTTATTCTACCCATTACATTCTAATAATAAGGAAGCTGCATAAAACTACTGCATCTTCTTTCATGTTATGCAAAAAATAACGTTAGTTATCAGACATGAAGATAGGTACGTCATGGCCAAAATCGTCAAATTTTGGTACAAATTACCTACTTAAAATTATCTGTAAGATTCAGGACCTGCCCGAAATGCTGTGCGTGTTAGTGGCTTTGCAAGAGTGTAAAATCATCAATGCTATGTACTCTCAAACCCAATGTACTGTCTTGTATAAATAAAAAAATAAAAAATAAACCTAATACATGTATATCATGGAACAAAATGTCACCACTTTTATTTCATATTTGTGGCTTGGACTATTTGCTACAGCAAATAATGGCATGAGGAAGGGCCAACATTCAACAGATTAGTGATCAGCCACTGGCTGTAATTTTAATAATATCCTAAATGGGAAAAAAAAAAAAAACATTTTTATAGTAATAACTCACTGCACCTTGACTTGTCTGGCAACTCTCATCAAAGATCTCTATGCTGTAGAAACTAATTTAACTCTTGACCTCTTCAACATCACAAACACTAATGATATCCTCCGATTACTTGTTTCACTATAAACGTCCCACATGCCACTCCTGTACAAACACTCATACAGGTACAGGCAATAATATTAGGAAATCACAACTGACTTTTCAAAATATGATAACAATAATCAAGAGCAATTTTTTTTTCTGTAGGGAATGCAAGTTTAATAATACAAATTCTGCAAGATCTCGGTAATTTGGATTCCAGTACCCTGAATATCTGAGTAATCCGAATTAATTCACGTTCGAATTTTTAACTTTTTTTTTTTACCTTTATCCCAAATAGATATTCAGTTTAAAATGTTATACCGAACAACCAATTATCCTAAAAATGATAGTACTTATAGCAACTATTTGGCCAAATGTACCAATATGTACTGTTGGACTCCACAAAATGTTTATGTTTTGTATTACAATATTAATTTTGTAGAGGCCAAGTAAAAAGCTAAACCCAAATGTAAACATTCTTGGGCATAGTACAGCTTGTACAGTACATGTACTGCTATACTATGTAGTACTTGTACTTGTACTAGTACTTGTACATGTACTGCTATACTAGGCCTACGATTACTTGGACAGGGTTAGACAAGTTTTAGGTTCTTTAGTTGCGGTTCCAGTTTTCTAGAATACCATTTGGGCTACAGTAATTAAATAATATAAAATATCAACTTTTTGGGGGTTCAACAGTAATTATTTTAAAGTTTGACCATATAGTTACTATAAGTACAGTACTATCACATCAGGAGGATGGGCTGTACCAAGAGAAACCCGAGTAAATTTGAGTTCAAATCACTGACTTCTGAACTCTAACAGAAATTTGTGTTGCTAAGATTTGTGCAGAACAAAAACCCGAATAAATTGCAATGTTAATGTTTGGACTTTCCTGGTAAAAAAATTTGCTAACTCAAATGGGGGTGGACCCCATATAAACCAAATTACAGAGCACAGACTGTAATATAAAAACCAAGGCAGCAGATTATGGAAAGCTCAACTGTAACTCCAAAAAATATTTAGACTCAAAAGGAACACTCGGAAAGCAAAATTTCCGATTCTAAAAATCAGGAAATTCTACATGGGATTGAGCAACTGTTGGCAGAAAAATGCAGTTCTAACAATAAGATACAGTATAGGTCTCTGCTCCATCATATGCCCATGACTTAATGTGTGGCAAGTTCGTAATCTCTCGCCAGACATTTCCCCACTTCCTCTTACGGTGGCAGGAGGAAGTTCACAGGAATAGGTCACTTATTATAGTACATGTACTGTACATAATTTGTTATTAGTAATAGGCAACCATCTTTCTCTCTAATGGCCGGTGGTTGCATCATGAATGACAGGGTTGAAATCCAAGTAGAAAATTAATTTCAGAGAGATTGGATATGTACGAATGGCTTCTTTAGCAGTGGCGTCTGTGAGGGTCGTTAATTAAGAAGCAACACCAATGTGGATGGTAACAACTAGTACAGTTGGGTTTGTTCTCAACTCACAATCTGGAATCCTGGGTTCAAATCTTGGGTGGGACAGAAATGGTCGAGCACGTTTCCTTTCACCTAATACTTCCGTTCACCTAGCAGTAAACACAGTATGTACTTGGGAGATAATCAACTGTTGTGGGACTGCATTCTGGAGAAAGCCAGTAGTTCAACCTTGGAAGAACCTCGATATAGGTGTACCATATACAGTACAGTACTGTATATATATATACTGTATATATATATAAACACAGGTTGCCTGTCCCCGACAAAACTAATTAAAATTTGACCGATATCTGCTAAAGATGAGAAAAAGCCAGCTTCGGATTTTGATCACTATGGAATATATTGGGTTATAAAAAAAAAAAAAAAAGACACAAAGGCTATGAAAACACTGATAGTCAATCACAATAACAAACGAATGTTCTGCATGAAAAGCAACTGCCAGTATCTTAAGGGCCAATTAAAATAAGGCAATTTTACCAATTCAAATTGGTAACCTGTACTGCAATAATCAATGACATCAGTGTTTAAGCCATCACACACAAGCTGATTACTATCACATGGGGTAAAAAGGACAAAAATTCAAGAGGGGGGAACTAAAGTCAAAATCATGTGGCCAGATGTCTGGGCCAGGGCAGCATGCAGAGATCAATACTATACAAACAGATGGTGCCGGTACATAATATTATACAGTGTAACCTCAAAAATCTGCACCACCAAAATAAATGAAATATCTAAATAAAGCCCAATTTTGCTCTCAGATCACACACAAAACTTGGATTTAGTGTGATGCTGAGAGAGAGAGAGAGAGAGAGAGAGAGAGAGAGAGAGAGAGAGAGAGAGAGAGAGAGAGAGAGAGAGAGAGAGAGAGAGAGAGAGAGATGTGCGTGTGTTTCAGGGTGAGTATGTGGGTAGTGGGGTAAAGAAAAAAAAAAACAGAATGACAGACGCTCCACTTGGGCACATGTCCTGCAAGATAATCAGATACATGCAACAGTTACAATGGTGTTGCAACTTTTGTTTTTGTTTTTAAGAAACATAGGTATACACACACAGCAGTATACTGCTACCT